CATCTCCTTCTGTTGGCAGCTGGCACAGTTAGCAAGTACATGGGGGTAAGCAGGCAGCAAGCATGGGTTCCTGGTTCCCAGTGGAAAATATGTCTAGAACATTAAAACAAAACTGCCGGCATAGAGGATACCTGGTTTACAATACTTCCTTTTGAAATTCTTCAACCTTCACATGACTGTTCGAATTTTTTACATATCTGGTCTCCAAAGTGACATTAGCCATCTTATTTTTTGTTTATTTGTTTTCAATCTTTGCACCCTAGAAGATGCTAATTTCCTGTGGAAACTAAGGTTATAACAAATGTAAAGCCAGCCCACTGACAAGCAAAGCTGGAAATAACCAAATGAGTCTCAAAATTCTTGGGAGTTTTATTAGAAAGAGAAAAAAAGACCTGTCCATAATATCAGTGATTCTAAAGCCCAAGAAGATGCTTGGTCAGGATCAAAGTCTGAAAACAAACTGAAGAGAGCAAGGGCTTCTTCAGGACATTTGATCAGCAAAAATGTTCTGCCACTTAAACTGGAGAGTGTAATGAGCATTTCTATAAGCAATCTTATAACTGCAGAGCTCTAAAATAGCCCAGATGTCACAGAGAAGAGATATTTCTGCATGAAAGCTAATAATGGAGAATGTTTGAAATGAATCCTCAACACATATGACTGCCTTTTAACCTTATCTTGACCTCGATCTTGAAGGATTTCAATTGATTTTTTTTTTATTCTAAGCTAGGTATCTATCAGTCAAGACAATAGTTCCAACAGCATTAGACACTTGTTCTAAGCTGGTCTAAGCTTTGAACCGATAACCAATTAAAAACAGTGGTTTTCTGTACATGCTATTCCAGAAGAAAAAGGCAAAAATCATACCCTAGGCATTCTGTTTTTAATTGAAAGAAGACTGCATACTAGTGTGGATTTTAAAACATTTCTATTTTCCCTAAGTAAATAGGTTAATGGTTATTAATGGCTTATTTCAGTAATACTCATAAAACTTCACATTTAGTCTTACATAGGAACTGCATTTGTGATACATAACAGAACTTCTTCATGGAGTTACCATCATTAAAAGTTTTATGTTAAAAAAATCCTACAAGTATTCCAAAAAATGAATCCTGGCATAAGCAATTAATGGTGTGAGTTCTTAAAAGCATCAAGAAACATCACAAACAGTGTGCTTCTGTGAAGGTGCGATATCTCCAAACTAAACAACTCAACAGGAAAAATCCCAGTCTGAAACATGGTCACATTCAAATTAATTTATCTCTCTTTCATGTTTCTTAAACTCTGCCACTCAACTGCATGACACTTTAAAATTTTTAGCACAAACTAAATGATTGGTATGACCAAAATTTTTGCTTAAGATGAACACCACTTTCTGTCTTTTCACTCTGATCGCATTTGATCAGATTTATCTCTCTGAGATGACCTAGAGTTTCCCATCAGAGCCTATGTGGGTATTTGACATCAGTTATATTTTTAGATACACTATGTCTTAAAAAACAGTTAATGTACTCTCACTGAAAAATACTTTATCACTAAAATATGCCAATCATCATCTGAGCCTTCAGCAACTTGTAATCTTTTTCCTGGTGGAGGGTCTTGCCTCAATGTTGATGGTCACTACTGGCCACTCAATGTTGATGGCCACCACTTGGTTGCTCAAGGTTGAGGTACTTATGGTAATTTCTTTCTTTTTTTTGAGACGGAGTCTTGCTGTGTCGCCCAGGCTGAAGTGCAGTGGCATGATATTGGCTCACTGCAAGCCCTGCCTCTTGGGTTCACACCATTCTCCTGCCTTAGCCTCCTGAGTAGCTGGGACTACAGGTGCCCGCCACCATGCCTGGCTGATTTTTTGTATTTTTAGTAGAGACCGGGTTTCACCATGTTAGCCAGGATGATCTCAATCTCCTGACCTCATGATCCGCCCGCTTCGGCCTCCCAAAGTGCTGGGATTACAGGTGTGAGCCACCACGCCTGGCTAGCTATGGTAATTTCTTAAAATAAGACAATGATGAAGCTTGCCACAATGATTGTCTCTTCCTTTCACAAAAGATTTCTCTGTGGCATGCAATGCTGTTTGATGGCATTTTATGCACAGTAGGAATTATCTTAAAATTGAACTGAGTAAGGCCAGGCACAGTGGTGCTTGCCTGTAATCCCAGCATTTTGGGAGGCCGAGGTGGGTGGATCACCTGAGGTCAGGAGTTAGTTACCAGCCTGAATAACAAGGTGAAAGCCCATCTCTACTTTAAAAAAACAAAAAACAAAAAAACAACAAAAAAAGCTGGATGTGGTGGTGCATGCCTGTAATCTGAGCTATTTGTGAGGCTGAGACAGGAGAATTGCTTGTACCTGGGAGGAAGAGGTTGCAGTGAGCCAAGATTGTGCCATTGCACTCCAGCTTGGGCAACAAGAGCGAAACTCCATCTCAAAAACAAACAAACAAACAAAAAATTGAACTCAATACTCTCAAACCTGCTTCCATCTCAAGAAGCCACTTTCTTTTTTTAATAAATAAGATGCAACTTCTCATTTGTTCAAGTTTCTCATGAGATTGTAGTTCAGTCACATCTTCAGTCTCCACTTCTAGTTCTCTTGACATTTCTACCACATCTTTAGTTACTTCCTCCACTGAAGTCTTGAACCCCTCAAAGTCATCCATGAGGGTTGGAATTAACTTATTTCAAACCCTTGCTAATGTTGATATTTTGACCTTCTTTCATGAATATTCTTAATGTCATCTAGAATAGTCAATCCTTTCCATATTTTCAGTTTATTTTGCCCAGATTCATCAGAGGATGACATCACTATCTATGGCAGTTACAGTGTTAGAAAACATATTTCTTAAATAGAAAGACTTTGAAGTCAAAATTACTCCCTGATCCATTGTCTGCAGAATAGATGTGTTAGCAGGCATGAAGACAACATTACATTCCTTTACATCTCCATCATAACTCTTGAAAGACCAGGTGCATTGTCAATAAGCAGTAATATTTTGAAAAGAATCATTTTTTTTCTGAGTAGGTCTCAACAGTGGGCTTAAAATATTCAGTAAACAATGCTATAAACAGACATGCTATAATACAGGCTTTTTTGTGCCATTTACAGAGCACAGGTAGGGTAGCCTTCGACTAATTCTTAAGAGCACTACGATTCTTGGAATAGTAAATGAGCATTGTCTTCAACTTAAAGTCACCAGCTGCATTAGCCCCTAACAAGAGAGCCAGCTTGTCCTTTGAAGTCAGGCATTGACTTCTCCCGTCTAGCTATGAACATGCTAAATGGCCTCATCTTCTAACAGAAGGCTGTTTTGTCTACATTGAAAATCTGTTGCTTAGTGTAGCCACCTTCATCAGTGATCTTAGCTAGATCTTCTGGATAACTTGCTGCAGCTTTTACATCAGTACTTGCTGCTTCACCTTGCACATTAATGTAATGGAAACAGCTTGTTTCCTTAAACCTCATGAATTAGCCTCTGCTAAAGTCCAACTTTCCTTTTGCAGCTTTCTCACTTCTCTCAGCATCAGTAGAATTGAAGAAATCTAGTACCTTGCTCTGGACTAGGCTCTGGCTTAAGGGAATGTTATGGCTGGTTTGATCTTCCATCCAGACCATTAAAACTTTCTCCTTATCAGCAATAAGGCTGTTTCAGTTTCTTATCATTCATGTGTCCACTGGAGTAGCAATTTTAATTTCCTTCAAGAACTTTTCCTTTGAATTCACAACTAGGCACAAGACGCCTAGATTTCAGCCTATCTCAGATTTCAACATACCTTCCTCACTAAACTTAAACATAGCTAGCTTTTGATTTAAAGTATGATTTAGTATGCAACTCTTCCTATCACGTGAAACATAAAGGCTATTGTAAGTCTATTAATTGGCCTAATTCCAATATTGTTGTGTTTTAGGGGATAGGGACGCCTGAGAAAAGGGAGACAGACAGGGGAATAGTGGGTCAGTGGAATAGTCAGAACCACATTTACTAAGTCAGTCCACTATCTTTTATGGGCATAGTACATAGCACCCCAAAATAATTATAGTAGTAATCACTGATCACAGATCACCATTACAAATAGAATAATAGTAAAAAGTTTTGAAATGTTGTGAGAATTATCAAAGCGTGACACAGAGACATGAAATGAGGACATGCTGTTGGAAAAATGGTGCCAACAGACTTGCTTGATGCAGGGTTCCCACAAAACTTCAATTTGTAAAAAATGCAGTATTTTCAAAGTACAGTAAAATGAAGTGCAAGAAAGTAAGGTATGCCTATATTACCTTTTCATCTGGGGACTTGCCAGTGAACCAGGAGAGAGAGAGAAAAAAGGACTATTTTTTTTTCCTTTAGATATATATTTTTTAATTCTAGCATCCCCACATCAATGTCTCCACTACTTCTTCCTTCCTCAAATTGTCTTCTAAAGAGTAATTTTTTTTTTTTTTTTTTTTTTTTTTTTTTTTTTTTTACTTTTTCTGGAAATACTTGGGTCAGCAACATTTTCTCAGAGTAACTGTCGACAGAATGGAGAATGATGCTCTTGCCAAAGATTTGTTTCTAAGGATGCCTTTCAAACATTTCTTTCTTTTTTGAAAAATGGTGCTCCCTGGTTGGTGGTTCTCAAATGCCACTCTTTCAAACCTTTTCCTGATGAGTGGCTGTAAAGAGCAGAACTGACTAATTCTGGTGTTTTAAATAAACATCTCTAAACATAATTTCTCTGGTCATTCTCTCATTTCATAAATAGTTATTTTCCAAAGGAATAAATGTAAATGTTATATGTGTGTGTGTGTGTGTGTGTGTGTGTGTGTGCGTGTGTGTGCATTTTCTATAAAGGCTAGATATGCAATAAAAGAGAGTAGGTGGGATAGTCGATTGTATTGGAAACAGAGACACTTAAGAAAACCTAGTTATATTTGACTTGCTGCCTCATTTTTCCATATAAACAAGCCCAAATAGTCTAAGAGTCTGCAATCATTAGATGTAGTTAGTGGCCTCATACCTTCATCTTTACAGTCTTCCACTGCCTCTTCGGAAGCAGGGCCAGGCACTGTGACAGTGTTGACACCATCTATAAAGCAGAAAAACAAACACTGCCTCAGAGTTCATCCTTCCAGAAGTCAGGCTGTGGTTTTCCTGCCCTGCACCTCCCTCCACTCTCCACCACAGAAAGCATGAGCCTGCAGCACGCTTGAATACACTGAATGCTCTTTGAAGGGGCTAGTGGTTTGGGAATCTGTTTTATAGTTAGTGAAACAGGAACCTTCAGTTAAGTCAGAGACCAGTGGGCTACAATCTATTTTTTGGTGAAGAATGCTACTTGTTGCTAGTAGTATCCTTTGGCATTTTGTTTCTTCCTCATTCCTCAAAGGATGGTATATTATTTTTCTTGGTAACAGATTGTGAAAGAAAGTATATCCTTGCAAGTTCTTACAAAGTGCTTTTATGTGAGTGTTTGTAAAGTTTGTTTTTTTCTTAGCACAGCACTTCTGCTCCGTTATGCCAGGCTGTCAAACTGCGGGGAACAGCTCTGATGGCTGTCAGCACAGAGGCCGGGAAGAAGGGGAGCATTTGGCCCAGGGCACCAGCAGCCACCAGGAACTTTCAAGTCACCCGAGAACAGAAGGGGAAAATGGGGACTAAGGACGTGGAACTCTCTGTTCCTCTCACAGCACCAATTAACTGCATTAGAGTAGACCTCTCTTCTCAGTGTCATCAGCCCCTATTGACTCTAGTCATGTTTGGCCTCCAGGATAAGAGCTAACTAGTCTACTCCCTCCCATTCAAACAGTAAATCTAGACAGGCAGGATTGCTAAAATCATTTGCAATGTTTAATACCTGATAACTGGAAAAGGAATATACATACACACACACACACACACACACACACATTTTGGACAAAAGATGGGCTAGAAAAGATGTGATCTGTGATTTGATTCCAAATGTGTGTTAGTTTTTATGCATACATGAGTTATCTTTAGTTCCATAACCCTGTTACTATAGAAAAAAGTATTTATAGAGTGTGCATGTGTATATATATACACACACTATATATATAGTTTATATGTACAAATATATATAAACTATAGAGTATATATAGTATACATATACATATAGAGTGTATACATAGTTTTTCATGTAGTAGCAGGGAATATGTATAGTTATACAGTTATATATAATAGTTATATATAGTTATATACATATAGTATCTATAGTTTACATGTACAAATATACTATAAATAAACTATAGCATATATAGTATACATATACATATATAGTGTGTATATAGTTTTTCATGTGGTAGCAGAAAATATGTATAGTTATATACTTATATATAATAGTGATATATACTTATATACATAGTTATGTATATATATATTCCCTGATAGTACATGAAAAACTATATATATACACACACACATACACACTACATATGTGTATATATACTACATGGACTCAATAGTTTATATATAGTATATTTATACATGTATGGTATACTTATACATATAAACTATATATATAGTACATATGCACACACACACATATTCATAGTTTTTTATGTAGTAGCAGAGTCAGGGAACTAAAGATAACTCATATATGCATGAAAACTAACACACATTTGGAAGCAAATCACAAATAACTTATTTTCTAGCCTATCTTTTGTCCATGATGCATGTACTATTACTTTCAGGTGAGGTGTCCTTTGGACCATAATTCTCTGTCACTGTCTCATCATTTAGATCTCATTTTAACTATCACTTCCTCAGAGAGTCCATCCCAAACCCAGACACTGGAAAGTTGCCTTCTGGGCATTTCTTCCATGTTTTCTCAGCAAGGCATTTATCACTATTGATGTTTTTATCATTTTTATTTGTTTATTGTTTGGAACCCCCACCAGAATATAAATTTCAAAGAAACAGGGATATTGTTTTTGCTGATTGTTTGTTTATTCAGTGCCTAGAATGGTGCCTATGACACAATGAACCCTTGATATGTATTTGTTAAATTTTTTGGAAGAATGTTATCTACAACTTTGATCTGATTTGATCATGACAACAGTCAAAACTGCTGGATTGCACTGTTTTAAGATTGTGTTTTTTCATGACGTGTAAGAGGTCTGCAGAGCTATATAATCAAAACTGAAGCTGGAGATTATATTGAATGAAAATAAGATACTTTTATTTTGGAAAAATACCAGCAGGTCAGAAGAGCTTTAACGACCCATAACCACATCTTCGATTTATCTGAGCTCTGATTAGGGAGGATATGAAATGAGCAGTGTGAATGTAACAATGTATGTTGACGCTGGCCAGGATTATAGGTGGACTCTGCCATTGGCCTCTGTGCCAGCCGGCAAGCTCACTTGGAAGAGCAAGGTGAGTCACTCAGGGATGCATTTAGGACTCTTCTTCACATTGAGAAGTGCCCCTATTGTGGTGACAATGCTATCAGATTCAAGGGCTGGAGAAGAGGGCTGACATTCTACCACTCCCTTCTCACAGGCAAAAGGATCTCAAATCTACAAACTACTTATTCTCAACTGGTTAAAGGGAAAAGGATGAATAAATCAAACACAGGCAAATGTGAGTGCATGCATACGTGTGTGTGCATGTGCGTGTGTGTGTGTGCATGTATGTACAGGGATGGGAAACAATCTTTGTCAATAAGGACAGTTCGGGGCTGGGTGTGGTGGCTTACGCCTATCATCCCAGCACTTTGGGAGGCTTAGGCAGGCAGATCACTTGAGGTCAGGAATTCGAGACCAGCCTGGCCAACATGGTGAAACCCTGTCTCTACTAAAAATAAAAAAATTATCCGGGCACGGTGGTGGGTGCCTGTAGTCCTAGTTACTTGGGAGGCTGAGGCACAAAAATCGCTTGAACACAGGAGGTGGAGGCTGCAGTGAGCCGAGATTGCACCACTGCACTCCGGCCTGGGTGACAGAGCGAGACTCCGTCTCCAAAAAAAAACAAAAAAACAAAAAAACAGAAAACGGTTTTGGACAGAGTAGTGAGTGAATAAAACCTGTGTAAGCTCCACAGTCACAGAATGGCCTCAGCTGTTGGCAGTTAGTCGACTAATACTTGTCAGCCCCAAACAGTAAAAACAGTGACAGCTTTTCACTCATCTGCTATGGAGCATAATGTGTGGGTTGGGGGTGGGGGAGGGTTGGATAACAACAGTTTTCTGCATCAGAAATTCATTTCATTGCAAGGACTATGTTGCAGCAAAGGACGCCGGCCGACCCAGGTGCAGGTACACAAAGTCCTTGCTGCTTTGCTTCAGTGCTTTCTCTGATTGGCCTTCTTCAATTCGTCTTCCAGGTTAATAATAAAAGCTTCCAGACCCCTAGCAACATCTCCAGGGTTAATGCAAGAATTTTACAGCGAAAAACTTATCACACTACCTGGTTTAATTCCAAGAGTTCAGCGTATGGCCTAGGATGTGCTTGGCAAATGGTAGGGCTCACTGTTTCAAAAGTGGCCCTCATGGGCCTCATTAGAATTGGGAGAATAACTGGGAAACTAAAGGGCACGGGGATTTTTATTTTTATTTTTTTGTTGGTTATGTTGGTAAGTGAATGATTGTGCCTATCATTCTTTTAAAGGAGAGCATGGTTGAGTATAAAAATGGATAGGAAGAGATAATAAATCACAGGTGACTTCAATCCCTTTTGAGTCTTAAGTGCTATTTTATTTAAAAATGTTCAATTTATAATCTACAGTGTGGAATCTATAAACTTTCAATGGACACATCTGTCCTTTAGTGAACAGAGGGGATGTCAGGAAGGGTTTAGATCTTACTTAGAGCTCTGTGTGTGGGGAAGTCAGGCCCATCGCACCATCTCCTACAATATGCAGAGAAATAACCTGAAGCATAGCTCTTCAAAATTTAATGCAATACACTAAAGAACATTCTACTCGCTGTACAGGGCAAGCCTCTTCTTCATTTCCTTTAATCAGTTTTTATTTCATTTTTTCCCTCAAGCTAAATGTACAAATTTGAGCTTACCCTAACTCAGCCAAGCTCTAGCTTGGCACTTCCAACTTCCGCCCGTCCCTCTTAGAATTTTACCAGGCAAACTGTTATAGGGCAGAAAATGGAATTGGTGAAGGATATGTGAAAATGTACCACTCTGTTTGAAAGCACAGTCAACTTATAGTTATCGGAGATGGTGGCTTCCTGAAGGAGACCTGAATGAACACTGGAATTCATCTGGTGAAAGCTATAAGCATTTTCAGATAATAATATTGAGTGAAGTTATTGTTCACCTCTGCAGATAAGGCCTCGGCGGCTTCTCAAAAGAAATCTGAGCCTACCTGCATCTTGGCTTTGTCCTTCCATTTCTTCCACACTTTGCTTTTCCTCTGGACCATTCTCATCTTTCAAGAAAACCACAGAGGAAAAAAAAATGCATCAGGTCAACTTGTGAAATATCTCTTTATGGCTAACATGCAGCACTGAAATTAATTGCAAGCAATGTAGCATGACTGCCCATAAAGCCAGGCAGAGAGATGAATCAGAGGCATGAAACAGAAAAATTACCTACATAAATAGGTGCATTTATACTCATCCCTTCTCACATGATTTGCTAGATGAAATGTTTAACTGCGGTAAACAAAATTCACTCAGTGGTCCTGGTAACAAGTCTCTCCTTGCTCGGCATTTCCCAAAATATAATACAAACTTCAACTCCAGTCCACTTTTCTCCCTTGACTTAAGTAACATGCACTGTGTAAGGAAGGTTGGCTAAGTTTCTTGCCCTTTACTTCTCTGTGTGATATATGCTGCAAAAAAGGGTCAATTTTCACTTAACTTGCATATGGCAGTCTAACATACCTATGCTATAAAAGATTTTGTCTTGAACAGATTATGTTGGTTGAATTTGTGCTATCATATATAATTATATGAAAAATAACTGGTCAGGTGCAATGAAGGCTATATATTAGCAACTTTCTAAAACTTTCTTTTTTCTTAAAATAGCTACTATATCTGTGGATTTATCTGTGGAAATAATAAACTTTTTGAAGGTTAAGTAGTTAAGTATAGGCATGATTTTATAAGTCATTGCTGGGAGGGTCTCCCAATTGCTTTTGGTTTGGAAAATGAAGCAAATAAAAATGATGAATTTATACAAAGACATAAGAACAAAGTATAAAACATATAGTGAAATACAGAAAATAGAAGCAGAAGTTTCCAACCTATATTCATGTGGGTTAAAGATGGCTACAAATGCTTTGTCTCTGAAGGAGTGGAGCCCATTCCTTCTCTTTAAGTCCTGACTGGCTGTGAAACTTCTTTAGACAAATATGATGGAATATGATGGAAGTGATATTCTGGGACCTCCAAGCTACCCTTCAAGAACTGGCAATCTCTACTTTCTACCCCTGGAAAGCCAGCCTCCATGCTGTAAAGAAGCTGAGGCTGGCCTGCCAAATAGAGGGAGACACACGGAGAGAGAGAGAAAAGATGTGTGGGGAGCATGAAGGGCCAGACCTGTGAGCCAAGCCTTCTTGAACCTTTCCACCCAGCCAGCTGCCAACCAAATGCAGCTGAGCAGTGACCTCAGCCAGTGTCACAAGGAGCAGAAGAGACATCCAGCTGAGGCCTTTAAAAATTCCTGACCCACGAGCAGGCCTGAATCACTTAATGTTGTTTTGCTTGAATGCTTTGACCCACCATCTTCTCCTCCTATCAACTCTTAATTCCGAGGCAAGAGAATCCTCCCAAGAGGAGGCCACTAGTAGCAGAGCTAAAGTAAGAGCCTCAGAAGCAGTGGGGAAGCATTTCACCTGCAGCTCTGGAAAACAACCTATTGAAGAAAGTTTCAGATGGGGAAACATTTAGATTTGACCTAAATAGGGAAAAAAAAGTTTATAAAAGAAGGATAAAAAAAGAAAAAGGAGTTATACTCTGAGGTTGGCAAAGAATGCAGTCAATAAATATATGTACAGGATCCCCTGTGTTGGCTTAGCCCTGTGTCGTTTGTGATGGTGAACATAATATAACTACTTTTTGTTTTCTTTTGTTTTTTACAGACACAGAGTCTTGCTGTGTTGTCCAGGCTGGAGTGCAGTGGCATGTTCACAGCTCGCTGCAACCTTTAACTCCTGGACTCAAGCGTTCCTCCCACCTCAGCCTCCTGAGCAGCTGGGTCTACAAGGCACATGCCACCAAGCCTGACTAATTTTTTATTTTTTTGGAGAGACGGGGTTTTGCTTTGTTGCCTAGGCTGGTCTTGAACTCCTGCCCTAAAGCAATCCTCCCACATCAGCCTCCCAAAGTGCTGGGATTACAGGCGTAAGACACCACACCTGGCCTGAATATAATACGAGAACCTGGGGTGGCTCTGCATGCCACTTAAATTCAGTGTCCTAAACAGCATATTTACAAGTAACACATGATTATCTGACATTTTCCCTGTTCTGGTTCTCCATGAAGGAAACAGCATTGGCCTTTGCTCTAGGGAGGAAATAGTCACTTCTGCTGTTCTTGCTGTCTTAACAAGGCCAAATTGGCGCAGGAGCATGTGCCAAAAACTTAGCCAATATCTGTCCCTTTCCTCCCACCAAATGGATTCAGAGTCAAGCAGGAAAGATCTGCCAGCTTCTCTGTCTCCCTCAACAGACAGACCTTTTAACACACTTCACAATAGCCCTGACATTTGCAGGTTACAAGTTTCCTTTAAAATTAGTCTGGTTACCACATCTTCTACAGAGTAGAGGTAGGGAGATTTCTATGAAGAGAAGAAGATAAGAAGGGAAAGAAAAACAGAAATTAAATTACAGAAATGTGAGGAATTGGTTCCAATAGTTGTAAATGCATAAAAAGGAAATTCATGGTCAGACCCCGAAATCCAGCTTTCTGATAGTAACAACCAGTCTGGCAGTTTACCTAGTCTACTGCTTCTGGGTTTTTATCCTTAGTTCCCTTGTGTGCCACCCCCCTCGCTAGAACAGACATCTGAGTGGCATATTTTTGTTTTCTACTTTGAGTCTCAGAGGCATAGTTTTCTATTTGCAGTATTTCTGCCCTTGGGAAGCAAACTCAAGAAACACTTGGCACGTTTATCACAGAGCGAATGCTTTCTAGAAGAATGCTGGATTTGCCATTCCAGTAACATGCCCTTAGATAAAAAGGTCCAGTTATATTGCTTTCATCAATTTCCAAGACAGTGCATCCTCAAATCCAGCAGGGGGAACCAATGTAGAAGGCTTATTTTCCAAGCCCAGCGTACGCATTCTTGGGCAATTAGATTAACATTCATTTCATTCTTTTAGAAGGACATTTTGGCTGGCTTAGAACTTTCCATCCATTTTAAATGCTGCAAATGGGTGAGTTCTTAGTGAAATAGGGGGCTTCCACTGGTAGAAAAAGCAAGGCACATTAACACAGTTACCCGTAAGTCTTTGATAAGGACAAGCTTTCTTTTTATCAGCCTTGTTTGTCTAGCTATCGTCACAGGAAGCACATAAACAATAAAAAGTTAAGCAGAGGGATGTGTAAACTTGAGGTTTTTAGAAGGGATTTTAAAAGGTTTACAATAAAGGTGAAGAAATACAGGGAAGTGCGAGGCTATTTTGTTAGCTTAAATAATGTCACATAGAAGCTAAATGTTCTTAGTTAATATTCCTTTAAGATCACATATTTACTTGAGATGATAAATTTCCATAGCATTCATGTTGAGTGTAATATAACACTTTACTTTCCCATGCTGAAAAAGCACAGAAACCTGTGAGAATTCTACTGGTTGTGTCCTTCTGATTTCTCCCGTATTAGTACTCTGCCTCCTACTCTTTCAACTAATAATTATCGAGTGTGTACTGTTTGCAAGAACATTTCAGAAATTTTATAGAAATAAGAGGCTCCTGCTGCAACATGACTATGATAAGCAAGCCATCCATGTTTAATTCTACATGGGAGAGTTTTGCAAGGGCAAAATCTCAACCACATGATCACGGATTGCTATCCTGATATTTGTAGTTCCTTTTGTGAACTCTACATGGTGATAGGAAGATAAAGGAGACATAAGTCTGAACAAATCCACCCCTATATGGGGGAAACAATCTGATGTGTACTTCACGCTGGTATACTGTTGTCTTTTCTTCTAAAGGTCTATAGTTTTCTGGGCACAGACAGACACATATATCAGTGTCCTCCCATTGTGAGCAAAAGATACTTCCATCCCATTGATGTTGGACTTGACCATGGGACTTAATTTAGCTAATGAAATGCTAGTGGAGAGAATGTGAGCAAAGGATTTACATGTGCTGCATAAAAGGATTTGTTTCTTGTGTTCCTGACATTTGCCATGACAAGAAGATACCCCTGTAGCGCCTGGCTTAAGGAGGATGAGAGATACATGGAGCAAGTTTGAACCCAAGTCACTGTCTGGAACTGAACCCAAGCAACTCACAGCTTGCAGTAGAACCACCCCACTGAGCCCAGCCTACATCAGCTGGACCACAGTTATCTTATAGACCTGTGAGCATGAGAATAAAAATTTTTGTTATAGGGGATGCATTTTGGGGTGATTTATTGCACAGCATTATTATGGCAATAACTGATTAATACAGATGATATATTTATTTTTCTCAGCTCAGGAAGGCTTTAAGTTAACTTTAAAAAAAATTAGCTGTCTCTTATAAAAAAATCCAGTCTTTAATTTTGTATTTCCCCATCTATATTTTCAACTCATACGTTTCAAAATTCTCTAGAAGGTACATATTTGAAAAGTAAAATTAGCTGACATAACAGAGGAATGCTCTTAAAGGGTCTGCACTGCCATCAATATAATGATGTTTATGTTTTATTTAACTATAGAGCTATGTAAGCAACAGAATAATATTAGTTAATACCAGCTAACACTTACTGAATATTGCATATGGTCCACTCAGTGTCTAAATGCTTTGCAAAGGTTATCAAGCTTCATTCTCATAACAACTGCACGAGGCAGGTATTATTATCTGCATTTCATGGATGAGACAACTGAGACACAGGGGTGTTAAGATTCCACAGCTAGCAATTGATGGCAGCAGGGGACAGTTTCAACCCAGTCTTAGCTGATGTCGGGGCTTACTACTGCCTACTTAGAAATGTAAGTATTTGTTGTCTGGGTAAGATACGTAAATTATGAATCAGCAAAAATGTGGGAAATGATAATCTCATCTGGATTAATTCAATTAACATTGAACACAACAGACATTGAGAATCAACCCCTCTGGCTCTCATATCAGGTGAGTGCAGTGCTACAACTCTAAACTTTTGTGTTTAATGCTAAAGGCATTTTTATTCTGAAATAATTTTAAGCAGCAGAAAGTTGCAAGAACAGGACAAGAACTCTTTTTTTCCTGGACCATTTGAGGGTAAGTTGCAGACATAA